TATTACACACACTGACCACCAGGGGGGCAGACTGGTCTGTGCGCTCCCACAGGGGGAGCACTGCTCAGCCAGAAGCCCTGAGCTTTGCTCACAGCCTCTCCCACCTCTGTGGCAGCACTAAGGATGTCTGACTAAGCAGGCAGTTGGACATCCCCCGAGGGCTCCCAGACTGCAAGAGGGCGCAGGCTGGGCTGAGGGACTTCCCCTGATCCCCCACATGCACGAATTTCCTGCACGGGGTCTCTAGTAATATAAGAATAAAGTCTTCTGTTTCGAGTACTCACAACTGTAAACCTACTTTTGCCCACCCTGGTGTTTTCACAGGTTTTAGGGATTAGAATATGAACATGCTTGGGGGCCATTATTCAGGCACTCTTCGCCCGCCCTCTGGCCCTCTGAGATTCTTGTCCACAACTCACATGCAAGGCACTTTTGGCTCAATTGATCTGCATTTAGAGGATTAATTCACACATTCAATGGAAATGTGACGAGGCCCTTTTGTGGGCACTGGAGATCAGCCAGGATTCCTTCGCACTCTCCTGGAAGGAGAGAAACCATCAGCTGGTTTTTGTTTTTTTAAGGAGGATGTTAGATGGTGATGAGTATTTTTGGAGAAGAACAAAGCAGGGCAGAGTGACAGAGTAAAGAGGGTGGTCAGGGAAGGCCTCATCAATAAGGTGACTCTCGAGAGACTTGAGGATGGTGGGAGCGAGCCGCAAGCCGTGTCCCTGAAGGCGTTGGCGGGGGCTTAGTTGGACTGCAGACTGTCTCCATAGGAGACCCTCTCACATAGCCAGGACATGCAATAAATACCGTATTTGAGCAAAATCGGAGAGAGGCCCTGCTTTCACTGGGGTTAGCATTTTATAGACAGAGACCCATGGACCCTGGAGCTAAGGAAGCTAAACTTCAGGCCCCTCCCTTGCAAGACCCCACCCCAGGTGCCTTCTGTTCTCATCCTTCACAAACGCTCTCCCGTTGACTTAGGACCCACAGCACCTAGGCCTGGCCGTGCTGGTGGGTGAACGCAGGAGTCAAGGGCACGCATATTACGGCAACTTGGGCATGTGGACTGAATGAAAGGAAGGGGTCCTAGGAGGGTGCGGGGCAGGGCCTGTGGTCAGCGGACGTGTGTTTCTGCAGGCAGGGGTGTGAGCTGAGACCTAAAGGAGCTGGGAAGCCAGCCCTCCAGGGGAACGCAAGTGGATCCCCAAAGTCCCTCGGGGTCGGGTGGAGGAAGAGCCTGGGAAGATGGACCAGAAGAGAGAGAGGATGTTTTTGTTTATTTGGAAACTAAGGAAAGCTAGTGAGGATCCTGAGGGAGTTGAAATGGTCTCTCTGGCTGGATTGTGGAGACCTTATGGGGCACAAATGTTTAAACTCCAGTCAAAGATCGTCGGAGACACCCCATAGTCCTCGAGGGTAGGTTTCTGGGCTTGCCGCAGCGGGCGGGGCACCTGGAGACAGTGTGGAGGGCCGGGTCCATGAAAGCAGGAGGGGATTGCTCTAGGGCCGTGGTCGGCAAACCGCGGCTCACGAGCCACATGCGGCTCTTCGGCCCCTTCAGTGTGGCTCTTCCACAAAATACCATGTGTGGGCCGATTGAAACTTCGTGGCCCATGCACAGAAGTCGGTATTTTGTGGAGGAGCCGGTATTTTGTGGAAGAGCCACACTGAAGGGGCCAAAGAGCCGCATGTGGTTCACGAGCCACAGTTTGCTGAGCCGCAGTTTGCCGACCACTGCTCTAGGGTTCTGGCTGGGTTAGCTGATTTCAGCAAGTGCTAGGGTAATGAACAGCTGAATACAGCTGGCTGTTCAGCAAGAGGGTACCGTGGGGTAAATTTTAAAACAGAACTTTCCCTGTGGCCACAGGGGAAAGATAGCCATCCCTCCTCTCGTTCTTAGAGCATCTCCTGGAGAAATTGTGTGAGAGTCATTCCTGCCTTTGATGGGTGTGCAAACCTATTTTGTGTGTGCTGTTATTTTAAATATTGGTAAAACCGATATGACAGAAAATTTTCTAGTTGACTATTTTTAGGAATACAATTGAAGCCCCGGCCAGTTTGGCTCAGGCCTGCGGACTGAAAGGCCCCGGGTTCGATTCCAATTGGGGGCAGGCGCCTCCGTTGCAGGCTCGATCCCAGGCCCTGGTCGGGGCTCATGCAGGAGGCGACCAATTGATGTTTCTCTCTCTGTGTCTCTCCCCATCCCTTCCTCTCTCTCTAAAAATCAATGGAAAATATCCTGGGTTGAGGACTAACCACAGAAGAATACAATGGAATGGCATTAAGGACATTCACAGCGTTGACTAGCAATCTCTCTCCAGACCTTCTCCACCTTCCTGAACAGAAACTGTGTCCCTATTAAGCAGTAACTCCCCATTCTTACCGCCCCCCCCACCCCCAGCCTCTGACAACCTAGAATCTACACTGTCTCTATTTCCTATTCTAGATATTTCATGAAAATGGAATCATGCAATATTTGTCCTTTCCTGTTTGGCTTCTTTCACTCAGCATCATGTTTTCAAGGTTCAGCTACATTGTAGCCTGTATCAGTGCTCCATTCCTTTTTATGGCTGAATAATATCCCATTGTATGAATATACTACAGTTTATAAATCTTAAATAAATAAATAAATAAATAAGCCTCTTGCCAGAGTGACAACCCAGGAAGTTTCTTTTTAAAATATATTTTTATTGAAGAGAGAGAGAGAGAGAGAGAGAGAGAGAAACATCAATGATGAGAGAGAATCATTGATCGGCTGCCTCCTGCACACTCCACACTGGGGATTGAGCCTGCAACCCGGGCATGTGCCCTGACTGGTAATCAAGCTATGACCTCCTGGTTCACAGGTTGACACTCAACCACTGAGCCACGCAGGCTGGGCAGGATTTTTTTTTAAGGTCCTGGGAACCAGCTCCTTGCAATGAAATTTCTAGGCAGGTAGTGTCTCTATGTCCCTGTATGTGGGAGTGCAGCCCAAGTGCCCTGTTCCGAACTGTAATCACCTGCTTGTCATAAAAATGAGAAGCTGTATTATCCCTCGAGACAAGAGCAATTACATAGCACAGTGGGTACCCCAACTACCAAGTCAGCGTAGGCTGAGCTAGGCAAGTTATCATGAATCTCTAGAGCATGTGTGTAATGCAATGCTTGGCTGTGTTTAAAAAGGGTAGGATTTCTCTCTGCCTTTGTAACCTCGTTAGCACCTGTGATGTACACCACAGTCTAGTTTAATGCTTGTTCATAATAAAACTGTTCTTCTTTGGTAGAGTTGTGGTGAGGACTTACTGGATTGGCAGGAGCTTTTAATTCCCCCCCCCCCACACACACACACACACCCCACCCCCACACACAACATCTTAATCATCTTTGATCAGGAGAAAGAAAAACAGAAGGGCTGGGATGTCATTGATAAGAAAGCAATAGTCATTCATAAGAATGGCACCAATCATCTGTGCAGCTGTGGGGTCTGCCTTCCACCTAACATGTGGGAAACTGTCTATCAAGGTCTGAGTGTCATGGGAGCTGATGTTCACATTCTCAGGGCCAGGGCAGAGCTAGGAGAACAGTTAGAAGCCACAGGGCAGACGTGGACTGGGACGGTGGCCGAGGAGACAGAGAGAAGGAGCCAGATCTGAGAAATATTAGGAGTGATCTTTTAGAAAAGAAAAGTGCTTCTCTGTTCCCCAAACTGAAGCACAGAGAACTTAACCTCTGTTGGGCACTTGAACTTGGATAATGCCTCTGAGCACATGTAAGATGAAATCCCAACCGTCTTCCAGGCCCTGCGGGACCTGTGTGTGGTGGTTGAAAACAATGCAGTAATAGTAATATCTATCCTATTTAATTTAATAGGGAGAGCTATTGTTATCCTCCTTTTATAGGTGAGAAAACCATAAGTAAAGTGCCTGGCACAGGATCCACGCAAGAATATCAAATTTGTTATGATTACAGCACACTCATTTAGAGCACGGTCAAGCAGAAGTCCAGCAGATCCGGATTAGAATCTAGGTAGGACAAGGGACCCCTCTTTATCTCCCTGAACCTGTTTCCCCAGCTGAAACTTGGGGGAAATAATTCATATGAAACATTCGAGGACGCACGTATAGGAAAGATGGGCCCACAGCCCAGTTATTTTCCAAAAACGCGTTTCTTTCCCTTTTGAGGGGCCGCAGTACTCCCCAGAGGCACGGGCACAGGGGGTGTGGCTACAGGCGTGGGCGGGGCGAGCCTTTGCCCCGCCCCCAGAGGCAGGCAGGTGGGCGGGGCGACAAGGGGTTTCCCCAGAGCGCACGCGCGAGC